TGGGATATTTACGATTTGCTTGGATTCAAAGGTGACGAGGAAGGTGTTGTGTCTGAAGGAGGAGAGGCGTTGGGTTGACTTCGCAGGACACGTTGGTTGGGCGGGAATCTACGAGAAGGATGACAGGAACAACTAGGGAGATGGGTATCATGGTAAATTCGACCCTCCTACGGACCTCATGTGCTTCCTGCCACCACTTTCTCTCTCCTCTTCTGTAGGTGTCGCTTGGGGGATGAGTGAGAAAGATCCTGTCGTCTTGGGTTGTCCAGATTCACGGTGGAGTGTGGTGAGGTCTCATGGTGGTGAGATGAAAAAATGAAAGAGAACCAACAGCTTTTCGTGTCGATTCCCACAGACGACGCCAAATGTTGATGCACAAAACCGGAGGGGTTTTGGAACAACATAAATCCGACCGTGAATCTGCAAGAAAGTAAAGAACACAAAATGTATCGTGGTTCACCCCAATGTTTGGACTACGTCCACACTGATGTTGATTATATTTCTCTGTATGAATGTATGGATTACAAGTGTGAGGGGGAGTCCCCCAGAAAAAGAGAAAGTTTGAGAGTGTTTCTCTATTTGTGAGAGGGTTGCCAGATGTGAGGCCTGAGGATTGTGAGGGTGAGGAGTCCCTTTTATAGACTAAGAGCTCCTCCCCTTTTACATAAATCATGGGCTCAATGTTTGGAAGCCCAAGTAACGAGACCCAATATAATATGGTACCAACAGTAGTCCCCCAAGTCTTCAGTCAAGAGTCTTTTAGCTAGAGACTTGAGATTCAGTCCATGTGTGGGCCGAAGTAACTAGACGTCGTCTAGAATTGATACTCGATATGAGGCGGTGCTCAATGTGAAATGATGCTCTAACTAGAAGTAGCACATGTTGCGAGGCTGCTCGGCTTGTGGCTTATGTTGCCTTGGTTGGCTCGGCTTGTGGCGTTGAAGGTGAGTGAGTCACTTTTATAGAATAAGGGCTCACTCTTTAATACATAAATGATGGGCTAGAGGTGATGTGGCTTATGTTGCCTTGGTTAGCTCGGCTTGTGTCGGCTCAGCTTCAGGACTCGGAGCGCTCTCAGGTGAACAGGGGATAATCATCAACCAGCTTAGCTCCACCCCCAGCACAACTGTGAAGAAACCCGCTTTTCTGAGAAAGCAAAAGTAGAAAGCCAATGAGCTGGAAATGCAAGTATGGGAGATCATTGCAAGCATCCAATGCAGTCTCCTTATATTCCTTGGGCATCGACCACCAGTAAAGCCAAAGCAGAAAGCAAAAGTAGAAAAAAGGAGATCAAGAAAAAATAAAAAAACCGAGATATGCTTTTCAAACAAAGAGTCAAGTTGGTATACTTGATGATGGTTTTTGTCGACACGGAGAGACCATGCCTGCTGACCAAACCTGCCTCCACATGAAGTTTTCCTCCAACAGCTGGACCGCTGAGGTTGATGTGAAGGGAGAAATCTCGCTGTTTCCAAGTCCCAACAGTTTTTTTTTAATGATGTGATTTACTTTTCTTATATTTTGGAGACATCTGTATAACCCACCAAAGGGTAATCATAAAAAAAAAAAAATTGTCGGTAAGCCCATAATAGTGGGCTGGAATGTTATGTGGAGAGCGAAGGCCCATATGCCCAAAAAAGCAAGGCCCTATGATTTTAAACTCTAACCTCCATCCCTCCACTTTAGGTTCACCCTCTATTATCACCAACTAGGTGATCAAAAGTACATCTAGTACTTTAAAATTATTCGGCAGCCTACCGCTATTATCACCAACCAGGTGATCAAAAGTACGTTCAGTACTCCAAAATTATTCGACAGCCTGCCACTATTATCACCAACCAGGTGATCAAAAGTACATTCAGTACTCTAAAATTATTCGGCAGTCTGCCGCTATTATCACCAACTAGGTGATCAAAAGCACGTCCAGTACTCCAAAATTATTCGGCAGCCTTCCGCTATTATCACCAACTAGGTGATCAAAAGTAATATTCATGAGCATCACTCATGTCAACATTCATGAGCATCACCTATGTCAACATCCATGAGCATCACTCATGTCAATCAACATAAACATTCATGAGCATCACTCATGTCAATCAGCTTCGAAAGCTTCATTTACAGAACTCCAACTTCGAGAGCTCCAGCTTCGAAAGCTTCATTTACAGAGCTCCAACTTTGAAAGTTTCATTTACAAAAACTCCAGCTTCAAAGCTTCACTTTCAAAGCTTCACCTACAAAGCTTCAGTGCATGGTATACAAAGGCCGCCTCCGAACAACCGCCACTTTGGCCTATACATGGATTGAATTTGAAGTCTCCAGCCAACAGCCTCTATTGACTGAAAACTTGGGGGACTACACTATGTACCATATATTGGGCTTCCGCAATTGGGTAATGTTTTCACACCAAATCCACTGAAAGCATGATTTAAACCTAAGTACAAAATCCTTGACACTTGTTTAGTTGGGCCAGCATCCTTATTATAGAGCATTTAGACAGCCCAAAAGCACTTAGTGAATGGCCTAAGAGGGAACTCAACAATCCAGCACATTCCCAAGCCCAAAGTGGCTATAATGGAGGCAGACGGACAGCTTTGGCACTTGCATGAGTACCATGCATCTCCTATAGTTAAGGTAACCCCCAAAAAAAGAAATTGGCCCACTTCATAAACAATTAATTGTATTATTGTATTTTTGTTGCGAGCATAAACCTTCAGTCATTCGATTATTTTCAAAACATTCCAAAGAGAACAGCCTTGTGTATGTTCAGCAATAAAAGAGGATGGAGGGCAAGAAAGAGAGATAGCTGTTTAAATGACATAGGGTTTAGTTTATGGATGTCATGTTAGGCATGGAACTTGATGCCAAAAAGTTTCCTAAAGTGATCTTGATGAGAACAATATTTATATGGCCAAGTATTAAGTTGGTCTAAGATGTTCTATAATTAGAGTACTAAGCTGGTCTTACAGATGTCTTCCTTATTTAACACTGTAAATCATCTCCCAGAGTTGAATTTTTTTTTACTTGTAGGATAAGCTAAACTTTCAAGAGGCCATTGCTTTCTTTCTCAATAAGTAGCCTAAAACTTTCATTGTTTTTTTCATGAAAACTTCTCCTCATTCACAAAACTGTAAAACTTGTTCTACACACTTAAAAAGGAAAAAAAAAAATGAAATGTATAATTGCTGAGGCTGATAATGAAGTTTATACATCGATTTGTAACAAGAAGCACAGTAACCAGAACGGGTTGCAAACATTACACAGTTGACCAGATCATTATGATTTATAAACACCGAAAATCCTATCTTGCAAAAATTTCCCCTCCACTCTCTGTCTGTGGGTCTAAAAATTGAAACTTTTGTAGTCGACTAAACTTGTACACATATACAATCAATAAATATTCCATATTTTTCCTCAATCTTCAATATCCATTTTAGTGGGATTGTTGCACAGATGGCAGCAAGCACAGAAGTTCTTTGATATCCACTCAAATTTCTAACTAATAATTTGAGCTCAGTAAAGTAATTGCAAATTTTAGATACTATAACCAAAAGGGCCTCAGGCGAAATTAGGAAATTTTTCGGTTTTCTATTTCCACGCAGAAACTAACTCCGGCGTGCAATCTCAAGACCGCAAAATTAGAAGGATGAATGCATTTACTAGGAGGCAAACATATGCACTAAAAACAAGAAACTGGATCAAATGATTATGAAGAAACTCACTGTATGCCACTGCAAGTCATGCAAACGAAAGTCCAAAAATTCGTGCAGACGTACTGAGGACCCTGCATATACAAACCATATTGCATTAAACAAAATCCTCCAGCTGCGAGAATCGAAACGAAAACGAAAATTTCCGAGAAAACTAGAGAAAGAGAGAGACAGAGAGAGAAGAATACCAGGCCATTACAGTTGATACATCGCCGATTAGGAGGGAGCTTCATAAGGCCCCGAATGATCTTCTCGTTTCGCTCTTCCTCTTTTCTGCTTCCCATTTCTGAAACAAAATCAAAACCCTAGAACCAGAAGAAAAGGAAGAACGGAATCGGAGGGTGGATTTGGAAATGCACTACCCTCCTCTCTCTCTCTCTCTCCTCCCTCTCTTCTTTCTCTCTCTAGAACTAGAAGGAAGGAGGAGGCTTTAGGGTTGGTTCAGTTGGGGTTTTGAATTTGGGAGAGAGGGGAACGACACTCCCGAATCTGAATCAGCTGCTTCGACGATAATTGGACAGCAAAAGCGCTCTCTGCCTTTTCCTTCATTAAATCATATTTTTTGGATTTTATTTGCTGAATTTGACCGACATATTCAGATGGTCTTTAAAATTAAAAATTTATAATTTTTTGCAAATAGGTTTTATCAAAATTATGTTATGTACTAATCTAACGTAACGTGTAAATGAATTTCATACGTTCTTTTTATCATTAATAGTTCTTAAAATCGAAATTCCATCCGTGCAATCTTTAAGCAGAAAGTCTTTATATAAACTCTTATACAAGTAAGTATATTTTTTAATAAATAATATTATCTTTACTAAAAGAAAGAGAGTGAGTTTAGACTCCCAAATTAATAGTAATATAGTTTAAATTTGTATTTGACAAAAATCAAACCTAAAATATTTTACTTACTAATAAAAATATCAATGTATTGTAGTATTAAGTAAATACATAAACATTTAAATTACCATTTGGTAAATTAAAATAAAAAAGTATGAGAGAAATGATTGTTGAGAAGAGAGAGGGGGATTTCGGAAAGCCTCTGATCATATCCGTCCATTTTATATTATGCGGTCATTTTTTACCAAATACTGTTTATATTTAATTTTAAATTAAAAAAAAATTACAATAATTTTTAATTATAATTAACGGATGCGATTGGTGGATTTAGATTCTGATCCGGCGAGGATCCTTCTGGTGTAAAAGAAAAAGAAGAAAAGAGAATAGAAACTGAATCCAGGAGAGTCCAGGCGCTTCATCTACAAACAAAATACCAAAAGATACAAAGCGTAGGATCAGCCAACCAAAAACCCATCGGACGGTTAGAAATCGAATTCGAACTTTTTCAATACCCTTCACCCACTCTCACTCAAGCATCCTTAATTCCACTCCCCCTTTCAATATCGCCACCCCTTATCCCTCTCCCCCCTCTCGCAAACTCTCCAATGGCCAATGTCCTCCGAACTTCACCTTTCTCGGCGCCATTTGCAGCGCCGCCATCCGCCGCATCGCCCAACTCTAGAAAACCGTCGTACGTTTCGCTTCGGCGAAGTCAAACCAGCAGCAGCAGCACGCCTTATCTCACTATAAGCTCCCTCCGGTTCTCTCACTTGCCGTCCCTCCGGCTCGTCAAGTTCGCGCCTTTGGCTTCACAGGGTGAGGCCGAGACGGCTGGGACGGTGGAGGAGGAGGTTCAGGAGGCCGAAGAAGTCGAGGTATTGTTTACTTTTGTTCCTGAAATTTTTAGAATATTTCTTTTTGTTAAATTTCAGAATCTTTTTTACTTATGGATTGAGAAATTGGTTTATTAGCAATGTCGAAAAAGCAAAAAGCAAACTAACATGAGATTAGATTTGATTTATTTATTTATATAGGGAGCAAAATCGAGCCTAGTGAGATAAATCGAGCCTAGTGAGATAAGGCTTGGTTATTATATTTATTTATGGACCAATTGGATAATATTTTAGAGAAGTGATTTCCGCACATCGTTGGATTGAATAAATCAAAAGAGAATGAAGAGACCGAAGACGGTGTGCGAAAACCATTTCTCATGTTTTATGAACAAGTGATGGAAGGGGAAGGCTTGGCTTATTTCATGATAAATTAAGGGTAGTGCTTTCCACACGCTCATTTTTACGTCTCACACCTCTCTTAATTGCTGGCCGCGGATCAGGTGAACTCAAGAAGATCAATTGTCAAAAATTAACATGGGTGTGTGAGAGGTAAAATGGGTGTATAAATAGCACTATCTAAGTTAATTGGATAATGTATGCATTCTACAACCAAAAAGCTAATGTTTTTGAACAAATTACACTAGGATTTCTGATGTTTACAACGGAATGGAATCGAGCCATTGATCTAACTAATGCTAACCCATCTCACTTACCTCTCAACTTGATTTACTCCAAAGGGGAGGCTAGGATCCCTTTTGTGTCCACATTTGTGTATTTGTGTAATAGTTTGGGGAGAGTGTTGATCATGTCTTCTTATCGTGTTATTTTAGCTGGAAATTATGGTGCTTTTTATTATAGTTTGCCGGGCAGCACCAAAACAGTGCTTCTCTTTGTTTAGTGAGTAGTTTGATAAATGTTTTAATATTAACGTAAAATAGAATCAATCTTTGTAACAACAAACACATAGCGCAAGGCATTCCATGTGTGATAAGGTGTGACAAGGCTACTTTGGGCCCGGATTTTTATGATAAGAAACGTATAGAACTAGTTGGAAAATTATCACTTTTTTTGGCCTAGTGGGAAAAGTATTAGTTAGCATTCAAGCACAGAGTCAATCCTAGAATGGTTCATACTCAATTTTTCAGGGCCTATTGGCTGATGCTTTCCTTATTTCAATTCGTAATTCACATGGAGACTCTTTTCAGTGATGTTTTTCATGTTTCAAATCAGTTTGTAAGATTGCACAGTCAACTTGGACTCTTCTCGTTTGGTAGAAAGGATTGGATTGGGAGGGATAACCCTCTAAATTCAAGGCATATTGACCGTAGATGAGAATGATTTTTCAGTGTGAGGGGATTAGAGAGGATTAGACATAAAGAAAACTTCTCCCATCTAATCCTCCCATTTTGGGGAGTTGGAATGGATAACTTTTCTTAATGAGCAATCCTTCTCCTACCTCTAAGTTGGTCACTTTTTTCATTTCTTCTTTCAACATACCTTTAAAATGGTGTCTTATCTATTCCAATCCAATCCAATCATGTGTACCAAATGAGGCCTTATACTCATGAACTTTGAAGACTAAAAGGAATTTACTTTCTTTTTTCACTTAATTTTTCCATGTATTCTTGGGCATCATAGCTCGTCATCCACATGATCCTAGGATTATGATGAGGGCTGTGATTCTCTATGGGTAGTGAGTCGTGTTATCACAAAGATTCTGCTACCATCTCATTTTGATTGACATCTCAATAAACATTTAACTTGTTGAGTGGTGAGTGGCTACTCTCTCTCTCTCTCGCTCTATATATATATATATATAATGTATTTCTTTTAAAAGAAGAAGCATTCATCCTGAGGTTATTGGCAGATTACTTACAGAGTGTAAAAGACGAAAGATTATATGTGCATCAAGTACTGCAATTCTTGTATAATTATGACTTCTTTGTGATCCACACCAAAAATCTCAAGACATATTTGTTTTCAGTTCCCTAGTTTTCTTTCTTTTTCTAATAGATTTATGGAACAGGACTCTTTGGATGGTGCAATTCCTGTGGAAGATAGTACCAGTGACGGTGAAGAAGTGGTACGAGTGATGATGGTGAAGGTGATGCTGAGGAAAAATCTGTTTCAGCCATCACAGCGTCACTCCAACAATACAAAGAAGCTTTAGCCAGTAATGATGAATCAAAAGTTGCTGAAATAGAATCTTTCCTAAAATCTTTTGAAGATGAGAAAATAGGACTTGAAATGAAAGTGGCTTCTTTGTCCGAAGAACTGTCAGCAGAGAAGGTTCGTATTCTGAGAATAAGTGCGGATTTTGACAATTTCCGGAAAAGGACAGAAAGGGAACGCATTTCTCTGGTAACAAATGCTCAGGGGGAAGTTGTGGAGAGTTTGTTGCCTGTAGTGGATAATTTTGAGAGGGCTAAAACCCAGATTAAGGTGGAGACAGAGGGAGAGGAGAAGATCAACAATAGCTATCAGAGCATTTATAAACAGTTCGGAGAGATTTTAAACTCTCTTGGTGTTGTTCCTGTTGAGACGGTGGGGAAGCCCTTTGATCCATTGGTAAGTCATTCAACCTTTTATGGTAGTGAAAGGTGAAACACTTATTAGCAATTCTGACATTCAGCGTTGAACATTTTTCTTTGTTTGCTCAGTCTATAACAAAGAATCCACTTTAGTAATATAAGTATCTGTACAAGAGAAAGACATTGAATTGGATTCTCAATAACCATAAACCCACTTTTTATCCTTTTACGGGAGGGATGCACCAATTACAGTAAGGCATATGATTCTTCCTGACGAACACTATGTCTTGGTGATCAATAAGTTCATGAGTGGAATTGTCCCGTTTTGTTGGTTGACAACATGACTTGTGTCTTATGGTTGGCTTTATGCAGGTAAGATACCAAGTTGGCTCGAATTTCAATCAGTTACTAGATGATTATTATCAAGTAGTTAGTCGATTTTGTTCAGGTTTGATGAAGACCTGGGTACGGTTTTAAGTCAGACCAAATCATGATTGAATCGAGCCAATTTGGTGAGTTCATGAGAGTGAAAACTACCATGTGACCTATTTTGCATTAGTCGGATGAACACATAATGTTAAAGTTACTGAATGGTTACATCTTGTGATTGTTTGACATCACACTCAGTATGCAGTCTTTAAATTTATTAAGCCATAAAGAATTTATGCAATTTCTAACCTTGAAACTTTCAATTTTCCCGAACAGTTGCATGAAGCGATTATGCGTGAGGACTCTTCAGAATACGAAGAAGGTGTTATAATCGATGAATTTCGCAAGGGGTTTAAGCTTGGTGACAGGCTTTTGCGTCCGTCAATGGTAAAGGTATCGGCTGGTCCAGGGCCTGCCAAGGTAGAGCAGGAAGTACCTCCATCTGAGGAACAGGAAGCAAGTGAAACCGCCGAGAAGGGAACCGAGTCAGCTTAAAGACCACGTATTGAGTCTAGTTCAGTTTTGGAACAGAAATAGTAACTTCATTTGTACTTCAATCAGTAGGGTAGTAATTTTTGGTGGGCGTGGCGGTTTCTGGTGGCATATTACTGTCGGTTTTCTTTTCTACTGAGCGAACCATCACGTACCGATGTCATATATTTGTGTGTTTTGAATGCGAGCGCATGATAACTTTTGTGTACTGATTTGGACGTCATTGAATGTTTAAGTTCCTACCATATTATCAAAGTATCAGTTGGAGTTCTGTTTCTTTTTTTTGTTTTAAGTTGATACTGTTGGTGCTTTTCCTGACCATAAGTTGCACGGACACTCCAAAATCCTGAAGTATCGGAGTGTCGAACACTTCGACATGCCGACATAGGTGGGTTTGGGTTTATTTAGTTCGGTTTTTAGCAAATCTCAAATCAAACTGATTTCTTTTGGTACATTTCGGTTCGGCTTTTTTTTGCCGGTTTGCTTTTTATTTATTTATTTATAAAACTTGATGTTTTTTTAATATGGAATTTAGAAAAAGGCTTGTATTGGTAGACGAATAAAAAAAAGGGTAAGTGAGAAGGTAGTTGTACATATATGAAATCATATAAACTAAGCATATTTTATCAACAACCTTGATTGCAAAGAAAAATGATCACTGTATCCACTCTGAAGGCATAGGTACGGAAGTATCCTAATGGAAGCATAAGTATCCAACTATCTATACAAAAATATCGGTATGAGAGCATAGGTAGGAAGTACGGATATAAAAGCATAGGTACAAAAGTACCGATATATCAATACATAATCAAAAGGTCAAAACATAAAGAAACATAATTCATACGCAATCATATTATTATATATAGATACACAAACCTTACTCTACGATGTGAAAAATTAAGAGACAACTAGGAGGAGAAAAGATATCGCAAATAGTGCATACGGAGATTGGCATGAATACATGGAGAAACATGGATATGGCTTCATGACTCCTAATTGCAAAGCATATCATTGAAAGAAAATTCGTTTTAATGTTTAACTTTTCAGTTTTGTAACCCTTATGAAATCAAAACAAAGAAATCAATGCATATGATAGACGTTACTTTTTTTCAGTACATCGATATTTTTACATTAAGGAGATGAGAAGTTTAGCTAAGTCACACAATGGACAACCTAATTTGGTATCGAATTCGTCATCCACGAGATTCGAACCTAAGACTTCTCACTTCTAAGCAAAGAGGAATATCACCAGACCGTAGTACTGAATGACGATAAACCTTATAAAAACAAATAAAACATGAGGTTAAGGGATTAAATGTAATTTTTAATCTTATTTAAGTTATGAGTAATGTTACGGAAGACTAAATTTTTTAAACTAAATGACATGAAAATTGACAATTGAATTATTACTAAGTGTTGATTAATATGCTTATTTTTTTTATAGGTGACACATTATTTATTTTGCAAATTAAGTCTACCTAGCATTGCTTAAGTTTTGTTTTTTTAAACCAAACGATATTATCTATACTAGGGGATGGGAGAGTGGCTAAATCTCACAATGAGCTAGCATTTGTGCGGTTCAAATTTGCCTTTGGCGAGAATCGAACTTAAGACCTTTTACTTACAAAAGAAGCGGCATACCACTAGACCGTAGTATTAAGTTGATTACTATTAAGTTATTAATCTAAAAGTAAGTGAGAAGTCTAAGGTTCGATTCTTGCTAAATGTGAGTTTGAACCACATTATTACTTACCTATTGTAAGACTGAGACTACTCTCTCTCTCTTATTGTAGATAATATCGTTTGTTAAAATAAAAAAGTAATATTTTCGAAGAATTATAATAAAGTTTTCTAATTAATTATAGTGGACCTCAATACTAAAGAGCTCACCTAAAACTTTGTCATTATGTTGGTAGGCCTCCTAGCCAAAACATTTAAGATGTTATTAATGAGAAATTTTTTAAGGTGCTTGAAATACATAATGGTACTCTAATTAATTATAGTGGACCTCAATACTAAAGAGCTCACCAAAACTTTGTCATTGTGTTGGTAGGCCTCCTGACCAAAACATTTAAGATGTTATTAATGAGAAATTTTTTAACGTGCTCGAAATATGTTATTATATAAATAAAGAATTTTTTTATTAAGTGTCATTATAATAATATGTAATGTATTAGCCTATAATTTGGACACATTGAAAAATCTATTGTTGCTAACAACCATTCTTCCAAAATTGGTGAACCCGTATTCAAACTCCAAACTGTCCAAAATATCGTGTTGTTGAATAGTATAATTGCTTTATATATATATATATTTTGGAAAAGTGGATGCCCAGGAAGTTTTTTTGCAGGATGTGTGAAAAGCGGTAAGGTTTCTTTTTCGGATTTGAATTGTCTGACATCTCTATTTCATACTTTTCTTATGTCCTTCTATATTATGTGATCACAATTAAACCACGTTAACATTTTATATTAATTTTTTTCATAAAAATAATAAAACAAAAAGTAATTAGAATATAAAATATTGACGTGGCTTGACTTACATGATGAGGGTATAGAATGGGGAGGGTACTCAATCCATATTCTTCTTTTTCTTTGGCCAGTTTTGACAGCCACTACTTGTAATCGGCTGGAAAAGCAGTGAGGTTTCTTTTTCTCCGGCCAGTTTTGACAGCGACTGGTTTTAATCAGTTGGAAAGTTTCAACTTTCAGGCCATGCAAACACCTTCTACTGTTTGAAATAGGATTCTCTTTTTTTGTTTTTAATCTCATTTTTTCTTTTTTTGTCTTATATTTTATTTTTTATCTTATTACCTTATAAAAAATTAATATAAAATATTAACTTGACTTAATCGTAACCATTTAAATAAATGAAAGAAAAAAAAAATTAGGAAGAGAGATAATTCACCTCCCTACCGTTCTACTCCTATTCACCCATCGTCGACGACGTCACTCAATCTTTTTTTTTTTTTTTTTTTTTTTTGGAAAGAACTCAATCTTTTTTTTTCCTTCTTTTTATACTCATTTTTTCCTTCTAATTTTCAACTTCCCAAAAAAAGTTACACCATATTAATGATAGCCAATAATTTATTCATTAGTCAGCCTCAGACTTCCATGTAGAATATCTCTTCCACACTCTCCAGCTAGCTGTCTCTCTCTACTCCTCTCTCTTTGTTACTCTTCCAACTCATCCGTCGCCAGAGAAGTGTCACTGGGATTAATTTGCAACGTCTAACTCCAGCATGTGAGTCTCTCTCTCTCTCATAGCATGCTGCAAAGTTTATTATTATTTCTAAGCGTTTTTGGGTATGATTTTCTAAATGATTTATAGCTCTGAACTGACGAGTGATATAATGTCGTGTTATGTTATTAATTAGTTAGCGCTTAAGTTTTCTTTATATATAAATATACATAGATATATAATTGGTTTTCTGTCAATATGGATTTTGTTAAGAGTTTATCAGAGCTTGAGGGTAATGCCCAAATTCTGGGTGGCCAGCTTACTTTAGCAACTGGTTTGTATGGAGATTTAAGTTAGTTTTTACTATTTGAGAAGGGTAACTAATAACTAAGTTAACTAACTTGAGGAACATTGCTGTCAATAAGCAATGTACGGCTGTCATTGCTGTGTAATAGTAGTTGAGTGGCATATCTAGCTTCACGATAATTTGCATTTTGGTCCCTGTATTAAACAGACGTCAATGGATCTTTCTACCCTCTCTCTAGCCTGTGTCTTGTTTTGTATATCATGCTACAAAGGATATGGAGACCACATTTTGAAGATTATATTTGTAGACGGCATGTGAATAACCTCTAAGTGGACCCTATTTCTGTTAGAGTATTGATTCACGTATAGTCTACCAAATATTACGTTACTACCATTTTCTAGTAAACATATATCGATATTCTAAACCTAAACCCTTAATCGATATGTATATATACACATATAGTTTATGTTTTGTCACTTAAGTTATTTTTACTTTTTTTCTTTCTCTAGAGGTATTCATTTTATTGATGCTAGAGAGACCATTTTTAGTAGACCACGTAATGTGCCGATTAATGGTTAGACTCCTTTAAATTAATAATAATAATAATGACCATCAACTGTTATATTATGCGATCGACAAAAGATGATCTAAAATACCCTTCCTAGCATTTTCCTGATTTTATTTGAGAAGGGTAACTATAATTGTAAGTAAGAAAATGCTAGGAATATCGTCTTTTTAGACCATATTTTAAGAGAGCTTTAACGAAAAACTCTCGGTACTGTTCACTTTAACGAAAAACTACATTTTTACTCTAAAAAGTCAATCATAGTACTATTTACTTACAACACATTTTTGTCATTTTTGTCTTTTTAGACCATTTTAAACCACATGCTGCCGCTTAATATTTGAACTTCTTTTTTAATAATTTAAAGAATAATCTAATTATCATCTGCTACATCATAGGATCTATAAAATATGATCTAAACTATCTCTCTAGCAAGTTTTTCCTCAACTAAAAAAGAGTAAATTGTATCAATGGTCCCTTAACTAAAAATTCATTACCATTAGTCCCTCAACTCATCAAAACATGCAGCTATGATCATTTTCGTCAATTCCGTTAGAACTTTCGTCAATTCCGTTAGAACTTTCGTCAAAATTAGTCACGTGAGGTTGAATCAAATGGCAAATATAAAAATCAAATAAGAAAAATTGTATCAATGGTCCCTCAACTTTAATCCAACTCGAAAATGGTCCCTCAACTTTAACCCAATTAATTCCAACATAACTCATTTTGACAGAATTCTGACGGAGTTGACGAAAAAAATCATAGCTACACGTTTTGATGAGTTGAGGGACCAATGATAATGGATTTTTAATTGAGGGATCATTGCTCCAATTCGTTAAAGTTGATGGACCATTACTACAATTTACTCACTAAAAAAAGTCAACATCTCCTGTTAGGTGTGTTCAAACTTAATAAATGAATGAATTTTCCGAACGGTCGTTCTTGATTGGGAATGTGGCATATTTAGATTCACGACTTTTCAAAGTCTTCTTTGCAAAAGAGTTCCGATATTATTTCCTCGATTTATATCTTTTGGTATCGTTTTAATTATATCGAATCAAATGTTCTCAAAAAGAATTTTAAAACCTCCCGTTTACAAGAGAAAATGAATATTATTTTTATAATTGATATAGTCTGCCATTTCATAAAATGTGGGAGCGCAGACAAGTCTTCTGTTTCATCAATTGTGGGAGCGCAGATTTGAATTAATAAGTCCATGTAACTAAAGTAGTGTGCTCATTCTCTGCACCCAAAGTTTGAACCTCTCTTTGTAATTAAAATGAAATTATTGTTTGTCAAAAAAACAAAAAAAAAAAAAGTGGAAATGTAAGTTAACATCCTTTGATAAGAAAGTTGAGACTTCACTCTAAAGGCAATTGTATTTATATTTGGCACTTACCTTGCAGATCAAGTAACTAGACTCACTTGGCCACATCACATGGGAGAAGAGATTAAAAAGAGTCTCTTGGCAAAAGAGACTAGTGTTGGAGAAGAAAAGACTAGAGTTATTGATGGCAATGAGGAATTGTCATTGAAAAGAAAGGTATGGATTGAAACCAAGAAGATATGGGTGGTGGCTGGCCCTGCAACATTCACCAGAGTTGCGACTTTTGGGACAAATGTCCTCAGTCAAGCGTTTATCGGCCACATTGGCTCTACGCAGTTGGTGGCTTTTTCACTCTTGTTCACCGTACTTGTCAGGTTCGCAAACGGCATCTTGGTATGTTTATTTTGGCTCCCTTTACTATTTCTTTTCGCAGTTTTTGAACTCCACGATAAAATAGTTCGAAAGAAGTTGCGTTTAAAGCAGATAAAGTTTTGTTTACTGCTAAAACCTTCAGTTTATAAGCAGTCAAAGCTTTAATGTTGTGTTTGTATCGGATACTAGTTCTTCGAAGATCAGCCATTGCTTATTCGTCAAGTTTTCTTGACTTTACGACTTGTCTTGTGATCTATGTATCCCAACTTGTAAATGAAAAACGTATTACCCCAACCACATTATGGTTTATCATTTGTTTTCCTAATTGTATATGCAATGCGAGATAAGCATTATTTTCTAATGGCTACTGTACCATTTAGTTCACGAAGTTATCTGCTCTACGGAAACTTAACCATAACTTCTAGACTTATCTTTGTGATCTGACTGATCGATGTTTCTGAATCTGTTACTCTACAGCTTGGCATGGCAAGTGCGCTGGGAACTCTCTGCGGTCAATCGTATGGTGCAAAACAGTACCACATGCTCGGGATACATCTTCAAAGGTCATGGATAGTAGTGTTTGTAGGCACATTATTCCTCATTCCTCTTTACGTTTTTACAACCCCCATTTTAGAGGCTTTAGGCCAAGAAGAAAATATTTCAAAATTTGCAGGATATATTTCTCTATGGGTAATCCCTGTGCTTTTTGCATTTGTGGTCTCATTTACCTGCCAAATGTACTTACAAACGCAAAGCAAAACTATAATCGTTGCATATGTGTCAGCGATTTCAATTGGAATCCACATCTTTCTTTGCTGGGTTTTGAGTGTGAAATTTAAGTTTGGGGTTCCCGGTGTAATGGTATCAACGCTTATATCATATTGGTTACCCAACCTGGGTCAGCTTTTGTTTATTCTACGTGGAGGATGTGTTGTGCGGAAGCGTCAAATATGAAACCAATAAGCAACAACGGCAAAATATGATAAGACAAATAATCCAAATGACACAAGGATTTATACTGGTTCGGCATAAGCCTACGTCCAGTTCCGGGACGGCGAGGAAATTCCACTAATATCAAAATGGAGATTACAAATAGAGTTTTAACTCTCAAACCCAAATCCCACATACACCCAATAGCTCTCACTCTCACAAAGAACAAATGGAGAAGATGGAAACATATACCAAATTCCTTCTCTCCCAAAAGCCACAAAATGTAGCACAAATATCTTTGATTGAGTGATTACTAACAAAAGGGGATTACAAACAAATGGGAAGGATAGATAACAGCAACCCTTCTCTTTCTTCTCTCAAATCTGCCGTTCCCAACTCTCTCCTTTTTAAAGGCATAACCAAATGTCTTAATATAAACAAAAGGCCACATATTCTTTGCCTTTGTAAAAGCCACAAATCAAGGGCTAGACATCATAATGATGTCCCCCTTTTCCTTATTCTATTTTATTAGCTGAAAGGTATTTTGGCTTGTTGTCCATTTGGTCACAAATCCAACAATCTCCACCTTGACCAAGTTCCGAAAGCATCACAGAGAATCGAATCAACAATCACCATAAGCACCCAAAGTACAAACTAAAGACAACGGAAACTAAATCAAATTCCCCAAACTTACCAGTGCTCATAACAATTTCCACCTCGACTCAAATTGTACCAAAGCCAACAAAAGTAGACCATTTCTTTACCGTCTTCTCCAAATTTGCAAACCATAAGTGCCTTGATCAAAACAAAAGGTGATTCAAACGAAGAACTGAAATTCTTCAATATCGCCAACAAAAGATCAAGCACACCATACCAAAGTTGGACACACAACGAACTCCACCTGCTCACAAACACCATGGTCTTAAACTGCACCAATAGACTCATTCACATAGCATGGCACATTCTCCAAGTCAAAACTGATTACAAATTTGGCAACAAGGTCTCACATACCACATACAAAAATATGCCCTTCACTCAAGTTTACCATCATCACATGAGCACCAACAGGACAACCAAAATTTCAAATTCAAATAATCAGCAGGAGATCCAAAACCATACCTCAACTAGAGTCTTCAAGAAAACTAATTGCAGATGATGGAGACCAACAAACCAAATAGCAGTGGCAAACAAATCCAACCAAATGTCCATAGACCAAAGTTAGAAAGCATATAACTTGCCTTCTACAAGAGGGTTCCACACAAATGTTCCGCATTAGGTGTCTCCAAAATAGTGTGGTGTCTCACTATCCAAACTTGCAGAACTTAACAAATTGGCCCTCACTGAATTCAACTTTACCAAAAAAAAAGCAAAACCATACCAATATCCAAAACAATAAAAACACCGATGAAGAGCAACTGACATAACACAAACATACATAGAGGCTACTAAGCAACTTTCTCAAATCATAACAAAGAATCCTTACAAACTCTTAAATCTCCATATGTAGCAAAGAGATTTAAGAGTACCCATACCCACACACACCAGATTCCCTTTTTTTTTTTTTTTTTTTTTAATTTCAAATCTGGTGTAGCCAACTGTCATCATATAGAACAAAGTCGAAGTCGTCATCGACGACATTCGCACTCGCACCAGCACCAGCATTATCTTTCAGTTTTGGGCAATCAACTTTCCAATGCCCTTCCTTGCGACAATAGTTGCATGTGTTGTTTCTGGTCTTAGACTTCGATCTCAAATTTCCTTTATTACTACCTGAACCATATTCCCTATCTCTGCCTCTTGCTATAAAAGCCTCAGAATGAGAATCATTCAAATTTCCAAATACTTTGTTCTTTAACTCTCTTGAATTCAAAGCGGCTTTTACATTCTCCATACAAATAGAATCTCTCCCATATAACAAAGTTTCAACAAAATTCGCATACGAAGGAGGTAAAGAACACAACAAAAATCAAAGATTGATCCTCTCATCATCAATTTTATTATCCATACTTTTCAAATCCATAATAACCTTATTAAACTCATCAAGATGGTTTTGAATAGGTGTACCTTCAATCATACGGAGAGTGTACAAACGTTGCTTCAAATACAAACGATTGGTGAGGGATTTGGTCATGTATATACTCTCCAACTTAAGCCACAAACCAGCTGCAGTAGTTTCATTTTCCATCTCACGAAGAACTTCATCAGATAGTGATAACATAATTGCACTATGTGCTCGATTCAAAGTGTCTTCTTTTTCTTCAGCAGACCAATCCTGTGGCAAGGCCTCCACACCCTGTAGCGCCTTAAGCAACCCTTGTTGAACTAGCACAGCTCGCATCTTAACCCGCCACAGGCTAAAATCATTCCTCCCATTGAATTTTTCGATATCATATTTCACCGACATATTCGAAGGTTTCATAGACATATTAGTACAAAGCCCCAAGTCGAAACCCAGAGCTCTGATACCACTTGTTGTGCGGAAGCGTCAAATATGAAACCAATAAGCAACAACGGCAAAATATGATAAGACAAATAATCCAAATGACGCAAGGATTTATACTGGTTCGGCATAAGCCTACGTCCAGTTCTGAGACGGCGAGGAAATTCCACTAATATCAAAATGGAGATTACAAATAGAGTTTTAACTCTCAAACCCAAATCCCACATACACCCAATAGCTCTCACTCTCACAAAGAACAAATGGAGAAGATGGAAACATATACCAAATTCCTTCTCTCCCAAAAGCCACAAAATGTAGCATAAATATCTTTGATTGAGTGATTACTAACAAAAGGGGATTACAAACAAATGGGAAGGATAGATAACAGCAACCCTTCTCTTTCTTCTCTCAAATCTGCCGTTCCCAACTCTCTCATTTTTAAAGGCATAACCAAATGTCTTAATATAAACAAAAGGCCACATATTCTTTGCCTTTGTAAAAGCCACAAATCAAGGGCTAGACATCATAATGATGTCCCCCTTTTCCTTATTCTATTTTATTAGCCGAAAGGTATTTTGGCTTGTTGTCCACTTGGTCACAAATCCAACAGGATGCCCCGAAACATGGACAGGCTTCTCGATGTTAGCTTTTACTGATCTCTGGGATGTCCTCAAGCTTTCTCTGTCATCCGGCGTTATGCTTTGGTAAGAATTTCTATTTGTTTCGGCTTTATTTTGTCCCTTATTCCTTAGGTTTCTTTAAGTGCACGTGTATAAGTTGTTATAAATTTACTGATTTCGGTCATTGAGAATATCTGCATGGAGACATTGTAAACTAGGAGCTTTCACATAGACACAAATCGCTTCTAACTGATATTCATTTAGTCTTGAGCTTTGTGTTAGTGTTTTATAAGGTTTATGTTTTGTATGATTGTTTTCAAAGGTTTGTGTTATGGAGAATGGTAATGTTCTTCACAGAAATATGAAAGGAGAATTTCGGCTATATGCAGTCTTACATTGCAGCAGCACATAGCACTCATATATATATGGTGTCAGTAGGGTTTTGGTGTGTACAGTCAGCCCTTATCTCCATTTGAGCTAGCTGACAAAAACCCAACAACCTGATAGTACAAAGCTAATCTAAGCCTTTCATTGGAGCTTTTAATCTAAGCTTTACACTTGTCAAAAACTATCACTAAAAAACTAACTAGCCGTTACAAATTAAAAAACTAGCCGTTAGCTTCATTTGATGTTGCTGTTGCATCCCTTCTCGATCCACCTGGAAGTGTTTAGCATCCAACACTCCCCTCTAAACTCTTCCTGGTGTTGACTCCAAGTAGGCTTCTGAGGTAAGTGAACCTTTCTTTTGGTAGTGCTTTTGTAAAGATGTCTGCTACCTGATCTTCAGTTTTGCAGTACATTAGTTCAATGACATTCTCTTGTATTGCATCTCTGATAAAATGATACTTCTTTTTTATGTGTCGTGTTTTCTGATGAAATACTGGATTCCTTGTCATTGCTATTGCTGAGGTATTATCACACATTAGCTTAGTTGGTTCAACCTGCAGTTCCCCAAAATCTTTGAGAACAAATCTCAGCCAGATTGCTTGAGATGTTGCTTCTGCAGCACTCACATATTCAGCTTCGGCTGTTGATAGTGCAACACTTTGTTGCTTAACTGAGGCCCACGCGAATACACCAGAGTCAAATGTAAATGCATACCCCGATGTGCTCCTCATGTCATCTTCACTGCCTCCCCAGTCACTATCACAGAAACTGACTAATATAGCTGTCTGTCCTTTCTCATACTTGATTCCAAAATCAATTGTCCCTTGCACATACCTGAGAACCCTTTTAGCAGTTCCCAAATGTGTTTTGGTAGGATTGTGCATGAATCTTGATAGTAGGCTTGCAGCATACATGATGTCCGGTCTTGTTGCTGTGAGATATAACAGGCTGCCAATAATTTTCCTATAGAGATTTGCATCTACTGGTTCACTTCCATCTTCACTTTTGATTTTTTTCATTTGCAATTAAGGGAGTGCTTACTGGTTTGCATCCCTTAAGACCAAATCTATCTAGAAGTGTTTGTGCATATTTCATCTGATGAATAAAAATGCAATCCGACTTTTGAATCACCCCCATTCCAAGAAAGTGATGAAGTAGCCCCAAATCTGTCATCTCATATTTTCCCATCATTTCATTTCTGAATTCATCCATCATTTTCTTACTGTTTCCAGTGAAGACCACATCATCCACATAGATAGATACTATGAGAATTTCTGACTTGTTTTCAACCTTGATGTAAAGTGTTGCTTCACTGAGGCTTTTCTTGAACCCACACTTAGTGAAATGTGCATCAATCTCACTGTACCAGGTTCTTGGTGCCTGTTTCAGGCCATAGAGTGCCTTCTTTAGTCTATACACCTTGCTCTCGGACCCTTTGACTTCAAAACCTTGTGGCTGGTCCACATAGACCTCTTCCTCTAACACACCATTTAGGAATGCAGACTTAACATCTAACTGATATAGCTGCCAACCTTTCTGTGCAGCTAATGCAATCAGAGTTCTAATTGTATCTAGTCTAGCCATAGGTGCAAATGTCTCATTAAAATCAATTCCAGGCTTTTGGGAGTATCCTTTAGCCACCAATCTAGCCTTGTTCTTTTGCACAGATCCATCCAAGTTCAGCTTGGTTTTATAGACCCATCTCACACCAATCACAGGTTTATCACTTTGTCTATCAACTAGAGTCCAAGTTCCATTTTTCTCTATCATTGAGATTTCATCTTCCATTGTTATCTGCCATGCCTTGTCACTTTCAGCTTCTTCAAAAGTTTCTGGTTCAATAACACAAAAATTGCAAGCAGCATAGATTTCATCCAAGCTTCTCATCTTAATTGGTGTTGATCCCGAGCTAGAGCTTGAGCTTTGTTGCTCTTCCTGTTGAGACATTGAACTTGCACTTGAGTTCTGTGAACTTTGAGGAGTTTGAAATGGTGAAATCTGAGAGCTTTGTATGCTTCCTTCTTCAGATTCATGAGTTGCACCACTTCCATTTTGTGCAGTTCTTTGTTCAGTAACACCAATTTGCAATGATACTTTGTCTTCTTCCACTGCTTTTGTTTCCCAATTCCACAATGTTTCTTCATCAAAAATCACATCTCTTGAGAGATTGATTTTCTGAGTTTTCAAGTTGTACAATCTATAGCCTTTCTCATTTGTACCATATCCAACAAAGATGCACTTGTTGCTGGATTCTTGTAATTTATGTCTGAGTTGTGATGGCACAAGTGCATAACACATAGAGCCAAAGACTTTCAAATGCTTGACTCCAGGCTTTCTTCCACTGAACACTTGAAATGGTGTTTGTTTCTCCAAAGCCTTGGTGGGACATCTATTCAAGATATACACAGCAGTGTTCACAGCTTCTCCCCAAAATGAATAGGGCATTTTCTTTTCATGCAGCATGGACTTTGCAATCTCCACTTTAGTTCTGTTCTTTCTCTCTGCAGTGCCATTTTGTTGAGGAGTGTATGCTACTGTGAGTTGCCTTTCTAGACCCAATTCCTCACAGAAAGCATTGAATTCCAGTGAGGTATACTCACCTCCCCTATCACTCCTTATCTTCTTGATTTGATACCCACTTTGCAGCTCCACCATTGCTTTAAACTTCTTGAAAATATTAAAGACTTCTGATTTGAATCTCATAAAATATACCCAACACATTCTTGAGTAGTCATCTATGAAAGTCAAAAAATACTTGTTCCCACTGATGGATGCATTCTTCATTGGACCACACACATCAGTGTGAATTAGTTCTAGTGGTTTTGCAGCTCTCCAAGCCTTTCCAATTTTGAAATTGTCCCTGTGTTGTTTTCCAAATGCACAGCCTTCACAATCTTCATTCATTTCATCCAGTTGGGGCAAACCTTGCACCATTTCATGTTTCTGCAGGTTTTTCAGACTCTGCACATTCAAGTGTCCAAATTTTTGTGCCATAATCTCTCTGAGTTAATTATGCTTGCCTTTCTTGCCACTTCTTCCAAGCACT